CAACTGTCTCCTCTTCTTCTTGCCAGTAAGTTATTACCCATACATACATACACAACAATACACATATATGCATGCATGCATGCATGCGATGCATGCATGCATGCATGTGTCTCTGCATGCATGCATGTGTCTCTGCATGCATGCATGCATGCATGTCTTTTGTTTGTTTGTTTGTTTTGGAGGGGAGAGGGTTGTGTTTTTTGCTGCTCTTGCTGCTGCTGCTGCAGTATGTCTTGCTGGATTTGTATATTATTGCTGTGTGCTGCTTCTGCTGCTGTTGCTGCTGCTGCTGCTGCTGCTGCTGCTGCTGCTGTGTTGCAGTACTTCTTTACGGTGTATCTTTATACCTTTATTAATTATTTATTTTCTTTTTTATTTATTAAGGAGACAAATTGTCTCCTCTGCTGTCTCTGCAATACCCCATGTACGAATCCTCCTGCTGCACCCCTTGCTGCTGCTGCTGCTGCTGCTGCTGCTGATGCTGATGCTGCTGTTCTCCCTGTTGCTGTTGTTGTTGTTGCTGCTGCTGCCGGTTTTGCTGAGGCAGTTTTTGCGGTTGCTGTCCTTGCTGCTGCTGTTTTTTGCTGCTGTCTTCTCTGCTGCTGCTGTCTTTGCTGCTGGTATTGTGTTTGCTGCTGCATCAACAGCTGCTGCTGCTGCAGTTGTTTGCATATATGTATATATTTGCTGTTATATATTGTGGTGTATATGCAGGTATTTGTATTATTAATATCTTATATATTTACTATTTGTGGGGTTTTGCTGTCTTTGCTGCTGCGGCCTTTTGCTGCTTCTTCTCTTCTTTTGTCTATACAACATACTATTAAACAATATACACCAGGTAATAATATATACACTGCAGCAGCAGCAGCAGCAGCAGCAGCAGCAGCAGCAAGAGGAGGAGCAGCAGCAGCAAGAGCAGTAGCAGTAGCAGTAATAGTAGTTGTAGTAGCAAGAGTTGGCTGTAGATATTTGTCTATGTGCTGCTGATTTGCTGCTGTTGCTGCTGCTGCTGTTGCTGCTGCTGCTGCTGCTGCTCTTGCTGCTGCTGCTGTTGCTGCTGCTGCTGCTGTTGCTGCAGGGTTGCATTCTGGTTCTCATGAAGAAAGACGCACGACTAGAGTTCGTGCGCCAGCCCTGGCTGCTGCTGCTGCTGCTGCTGCAGATCAGCAGCAGCGACAGCAGCAGCAACAGCAGCAACAGCAGGAAGGAGGAGACACGAGAGCAAAGCCTCTTCGCCGCCTCCATCTAGGTAGGGTTTAGGGTTTAGGGTTTAGGGTTTAGGGTTTATTATTGTTATAGTTATACTGTTAGCTGTCTCTTAGCTCGTTCTCTGCCGCTGCAGCAGCAGCAGCAGCAGCACCACCACCGCCACCATCAGCATCAGCAGGAGGAGCAGCAGCAAGATAATTTATGTATGTATGTATGCATGCAGGTTGTCGCTATATACTACATTATATAAATATATATTGTCTCCTTAGATTTGTATTTTTGTCTCTTTTTTTATCTGCTGCTATTACCTGTCTCCTTATATTCTCAATAGATTTGTCTCTTTTTTGTTTGTCTCCTTTTTCTTTATCTATTAATAATAATTATAATTATTATTATTTACCTATACTTACCACCAGCAGCAGCAGCAGCAGCAGCAGCAGCAGCAGCAGCAGCAGCAGCAATGGGGTGTATAACTTACCTAATAACTCTGCATCTTCTATACCTACGGATATCTCCTCTCTGCAGAGACAGCAGCAGCAGCAGCAGCAGCAGCAGCAGCAGTATATACATAACGCACATCCCTATCATGCTCATCATCAGCATCAGCATCAGCATCAGCAGCAGCAGCAGCAGCAGCAGATAAATGAGCCCGTGCTGCGCTCCTATCAAGAATATAGCCAATTATCTGTTGCTGCTGCATGCGATTTACCTGGCTTAGATCTAACATTACAAAAGAGGCGTCTCCTTGCTGTCCCCTTTGAGTTGCTGCTGCGTGCTGCTGCAGCAGAAAACTTTCCTGCTGCTCATTCCTACCAACAACAACAGCAGCAGCAGCAGCAGCAGCAGTACCAACAGTACCAGCAGCAGCAGCAGCAGCAGCAGCAGCAGCAATCTCTTATGACGTTTATTAACAAGATGGCAGTTAAGGAGACATGTCCTCTATGGGCAGACGAACAGATCAGGGAGGCATCACGTCTATACACCAGGAAGCAGCAGCAGCAGCAGCAGCAGCAGCAGCAGCAGCAGCAGCAGCAGCAGCAGCAGCAGCAGCAGCAGCAACTGCAAGAAAGTATTCTGTCCTCTATAGTTGAATTTAACTTTGGGCCTCGTGCTGCTGCATTAACAGAGACACCCCGTATAGCTGATCTGCTGCTGCCGCCACAGCAGCAGCAGCAGCAGCAGCAGCAAGATAGCAGCAGCAGCAGCAGCAGCAGCAATAACAACATTGGATCAACGGGGAAAGGTGGTGCTGCTGCACCTTCATGGGGAGGAGACTCCAGCAGCAGCAGCAGCAGCAGTGGTGTGCTGCTGTGGTCTGCTGAGGCCCGTCATCTGCTGCAGGAGACAGCAGCATTAGAGACAGCTGTGCTGCAGCAAATGGAGACACTTTTTGTGCTGCTGGGGGGACTAGAGGAGCCCCTCTTTCCTTATACGGACCCTACAGATATATTTCAGGTAGATGCTGCTGCTGCTGCTGCTGTTGCTGCTGCTCCTGGTGGTGTTTATGGTGCTGCTGGTGACCCCACACTGGAGCAGCAGCAACAGCAACAGCAGCAGCAGCAGCAACAACAAGTTTTGCTGCAGCATCAACTATTATCCGCAACTGCACAACAACCAGGACGTCAGCTGCTGCAGTTGCTGCAGCAGCAGAAGCAGCAGCAGCAAGAAGAAGCAACAAGTGCAGCAGGAGGACGAGTTAGTCTTTCTGTACAATTTCTTGCTAGAGGATTAAAAACAATAGAAGATCTTGTTAGACAATGGGTACGTCTGCTGCTGCTGCTGCTGCTGCTGTTGCTGCTGCTGCTGCTGCTGGCGTGTGTACCCTTGCGCGGTTATCTCGTTTTTGCTGCTGCTGCAGCAAGTGCAGCAGCAACAAATAAAGGGTATATTTTTTTCTTGTGTTATATTTGCTGCTGCTGTTGCTGCTGGTGCTTGTGTTGCTGCTGCAGCTGTCTTTGCCTTCTTCGGATACTGCTGCAATATATTCTGCGGTGCAGCAGCAGCTGCTGTTGCTGCTGACGACGCAGCAGCGACCCGCTGGAGCAGCAGCAGCAGGAGGAGCAGCAGGAGCAGCCCGCAGATGCAGCAGCAGCGACGGCAGCAGCAGCAGCACATGTACTGATGGTATAAATAACTGGGAAGAAGATGAGGAAGACGAAGAAGACGAAGAAGAAGACGAAGAAGACTTGCTGCTGCTGCAGCAGCAGCAGCAGCAGCACCAGCAGCAAACAAACCCGTACTACACCAACCATAATAATCATCATCATTACCAGCAGCAACAATACCACCATCAGCAGCAGCAACACCTGCAGCATGATCATCATCATCATCATCATCATCATCAGCAGCAGCAGCAGCAGCAGCAGCAGCAGCAGCAGCAGCAGGAGCAGCAGCAGGAGGAGGAGGAGGAGCGTGTATATTTACAGCGTTTATCTCCAATATTATGCCTAAGATGTATAATGTTTGATGATATAACAGGAGACTGTATAGATAAAGGAGACAAAAAGGAGACAGATTATATAAGAAAAAAAAATATTCATGAATGTTTACGTAAGATAGAGGCATATAAACTATTCCTTACTACAGATAATATTAATAACAGCAGCAGCAGCAGCAGCAGCAGCAGCAGCAGCAGCAGCAGCAGCGGTGGTGGTGGCGGTGCTTCTGGTGGTGGTAGCAGCAACGCGGGAGGACACACCGTTGCTGCAGGAGAAGGTGCTGCAGGGACAAAGGAGGAGACAGCAACAGCAGCAGCAGGAGGGGAGTCTGCTGCTGCTTCTGCTGCTGCTGCTGCTGCAGCAGCAGGAACAACAGGTGACGGAACAGCAGCAGCAACAGGAGAGGAAGAAGTAACATTAGAGACAGTAAATAGTTGTAACTTAACCCATCTAAGTTCCCCTGTCAGTGGCAGCAGCAGCAACAACAACAACAGCAGCAGCAGCAGCAGCAGCAGCAGCAACATGAGACGTACAGCATCAGCAGAGGAGATCCGTGCAGCAAAAATGGTGGTACAACCCCGTTTTATAATCCCCCCCTCTCCTTCTCCTTCCCCCTCCCCTTCCTCCCCCACCGCCCCCAGCAGCAATAGTACCACCAACAGCAGCACCAACAGCACCACCAACAGCAGCAGCAGCAGCAGCAGCAGCAGTATGGATGCAGTAGGGGCTATAGAGGGCCTATGCGGATTTACGTCTCAATCCTTACACCAGAGGGAATACATAATACCTATCTATAAGAAAAGGCCTGCTGCTGTTTGTCCTTCTTGTCTTAGACAATTGCTGCTGCTGCAGCAAGCAAGAGTTGATCTTTATTGTTATCATCATCTGTTAATACATATTGCTAAACAATATAATATTAAAAATAATAGCAGCAACAGCAGCAGCAGCAGCAACAGCAGCAGCAGCAGCAGCAGCAGCAATGCTGTTGCCTTTGATAGTAAGACATCCTTGTCTTTGTTAGCAAGAAAGAAAATTCTTTTATTAAAATTAAGGGATGTTCTTTCTCTTATACCTATGCAGCAGCAGCAGCAGCAACATCAGCAGCAGCAGCAGCAACAGCAGCAGCAGCAACAGCAGCAGCAACAGCAGCAGCAGCAACAATCGCAACAGCAACAGAGAACGGAGAAGTGGAATGGCTCTCGTGCCAGTGAACAGCAGACATCTGCTGCTGCTGCTGCTGCAGGAGGAGCAGCAGCAGGAGCAGCAACAGGAGAGGAAGGACAGCAGCAAGCTGTACAGCAAGGGACAATGGGGTTACTATCTTGGTTGCTGCAGTGGCATATATTTGCT